ATTTTTCTTGAATAAAACTACGGGGACAACGTACAATGGGTGCAGGAAATACCATGCTGAGAGATGGAGAATCTGTGCAACGCTAATTTCTGTGCTCCTTCCAAACCCCACTCACATTCTGCCTTTGACATATATACCTTGCTGCAAGTCAGCACAATAATGGCAACTTTTTACCGGGAACAGATCAGTTTTTTCTTTAGTCTCTTCAATCAGTTTTGCAACACTTGCGACACAAAAGTCTTTTAAGTGCCGAAGAACAGGGGTGTTAAGAGAGTAACATACAAATAAAAGGAGAAGAGATTTATACAATAAGGATGATGAGATGATATGTGTTACTGTTTTAGTTTTAGTAGAGGTTTTACGGCGCTCGCAACTGCATAAGGTCATATGAGCGCCAAGGGGTGGATGTCAACAGAGAAGTCCTTACAGGGAATCAGACTTACTCTGCTCACCTCTCCAGCTTCAACAGCACAAAGTCTGCTGTGCTACTGTTTGACAGAGCAGAAGAAGCAAAAGACAACAGGGAACCCACCAACCACCCACAGATGATGATGCCAGAAGCCTGGAAGAAAGAGAAGGGACAAAGACACAGCCATTCACCAACCATCATACAGAGAGATGAAAAGAAAAAAGAAAAATGGTCGTTTATAAGCACAAAGGGCCTATCCCGAAAAATGCTGTTTTGAGAAAATCGAAGGTAAAGTTTTTGCTCCTTGGTCAGTTTCTCTAAAAGTCAGGAAGAGTTTTCCCTATACTCAAACAAATACACACTCCAATGAAACCAAACTTCTCCTACAGGTAGGGCAATGCCCACTTTTGGTGTAGGCCAAGATTTCTGGAAATCCTCGAAATCTGGGTTAGCCCGCTTGTCCTTAACAGCGACCAAATGATGACTGAATAAACAGATAACTCTTCCCAAAAAGTAATTCTAAAAAAAAAAGAAGACCTTTTTACCTGAAACCTCTATACAATTCTCAATTCTTCAATTCAATTCAAATACAAATCAGCATCAAGGGCGAATGATAAAATATAAAAGAGCCAGCACCGACTCTGAGAAAGGACTGACCCCCCCGTCCCAACCCACGTTTGATGGCTCAGGACAAGTGAAAATGTGCAGCCTGCCTCGAGAGAACTTTCTGTATTCTCTACCAGATAGTGTCTTTTCCTTTTGGCAGTTCCCAAATGATTGTCACAAGAACATTTTCAAAAGCTAAGGCTTTCATTTCACCCCTTTACCTCACAACACTGTCCACACTCCTTTAACTCTTTATCTCCGGAAAGCCACTCCCAGCGGCTTGGAGTCTGAACCCCTGTGCCGGTGAGTCGCTGACAGCAGCTTGGGCACATTCCTTTACGACTACTTCCACATCAAATTACTTTTCAGCAATGGTAAAAAACAGGTCTGTTATAACGGAAGTTCATTCATTAGATGAAGAACTATCGAAATAGGTTTGTTAGTTTTTATCTAATGACCCATTTAAAGACGTTTTTGTCATTTTTAGATTTAATAATAATAATAATAATAATAATTGCATTTATATAGCGCATATCCATGCTCAAGAGCATGCTCTATGCGCTTTACAACTATTATTACCCCAGCAGACCCTCTGAGAACACTCAGAAACATTCTCAGCTTCCGAGGAAGCATACAGTGCAAGCTGCAGATTTCACGCGCTCAAACACTATCAAACTGACAAGATCTTTCTCTGTCTATAGCCGGGTACCCATTTCCACCTGGTTGAAGTGAGGAAAATTTGTGCAAAGTGCCTTTCCTAAGGACACAACGTTGGGCCCCTGATGGGATTCGAACCCACGACCTTACGGTTGCAAGTCCGAGAGCCTAACCACTAGGCCATCGACGCCACACCTGATTTAGCACCAGAAAAGAGCCGTGGCGTAGTGGGTTTACCCCCCTCGGAGATAAAGAGTTAATTTCTCTTCTCAAGTAGCCTATATCACAAAAATACATGGGATTTTTTTTAAAGGGGGAAAACATATTTTCAACTCTCAAGACAGAATCAGCATCTTTCAACCATCTCTCATGGCGATTATTTCTAAAAATGTGCAGTGCAAAAGAAAAGACTGAATACAAAACAAACAACAACAAAAAACCCAGCATATAGCAGTACAATAAAATGAAGTCAAAATATTCATAATATATGAGTTAACTTATATGGTAGCTAGCCCTTTCATAAATAAATAAGACATAGGTAGTAGTAGTAGAGCGCAGACAGTTTCTGTGCCATTGAAAAATAGCTGGCGAATGTATTTATGTGGTCAGTCAATCAAATGGCATGGGATTTGCAGAGTAGACAAAAACAGCTTTGAAAAACGTGTGAAATGTATCAGCCTTTGGTGTAGGCGTAGGTCCGTCAAAATGAAATCCTAGATATGTCAGAAAGAGAAAAACATTCAGCTGTCCCCGTGGTTTTATGCACCCCGTATAATTTTTTTTAAAATTTGATCATTTTTTTGCATAATTTCAGATTATTTTCCTTTATCATTCTTTATTAAAATTAACAGATTCGCATAATTTCAACATTTTTGGGCTCAGTTTGCATAATTTCAGAGGTTTTTTTTGCATAAAACCGCGGGATCAGCTAGATATAATGTCAGAATGAGAAAAACATTCAGTACTTATGACCAGAGACGACACAAGCCATTGCTCTTGACAACAATACAGAAAGCAGAGTAACCAGACAACAGAGCAGCTTCTATCACAAAAATGTTCTAAACCGTAAACGTGAAAGGCTTTTCGTTTCACTTTTGTTGTCACGTTCAATATTCTATCAGACACTACGAAAGACCTTTTGAGAGAAACCAATTTCTTTCTTTCTACAAATCAATCCTACAGTTTAAAAAAAAGGAAACAAAGAGACAGGAAAGAGAGAAAGAGAGAAAGAGGTATAAAACATTTACTCTGATGAAATGTTACTAATAATGTCAAATACATAATATTTGCAAAAATTGTTTTGACAGACAAAAACTCCCTAGGGACAATGACTTAAATGAGGAGAATTCAATGGTCTCTTTGAAAATAATATATTCTCAGGAACCACTGCGTATCCTCTCCACCGTCAGCACACACACACACACACACACACACACACACACATGCACACACACACATGCACACACACAGTTCAGCAGCAAGAAGCACACAGTAAGAGACTTCTGACAGGCTAATTAATTGGACAGGTTCCGACTCACACGGCAGACAACAAGATCTAAAAAAGGGACAGCCCCAAACAATGTTCACTCCTCAAGAAAATGTTGAGAAATACGAGCTACCTCTACTAATTAAATATATTCTAGGATGAGTTCACAGAGTAATTAGAAATATGCAAATGACAAATTGCTTTTTCATCTACACGGATTTCATTGCACAAAAATACTGCTGCTCAAACTCTGTAGAAAGCAATGAATATTCATCATCATCATCAGCCTCTTCCACGCTGCTAGAGTGCAGTAGCCTCCGCCAAAACAAGATTGGTGCTCGGGAGGGCTCCTTAGCGCGTGTTTATACGGAGCGTGCGTTTACAAGAACCTTAGCAAGGGGAAGAAGGGACGCAGTCTTCTCAATGCCTTGATATTCTAGTGACCTCCCTTTGACTTTGGGGCAGGTGTCACTTTGGGCCGACAATATGACGACACGCTACTGTTTTGTAAAGGACACCCCGACTGCGGTTATGAATATTATTCACAAGATATTTCATGGACTGATTTCAACTTGTGATTTCTAAACATGAGGATTACTCAATTACTGCTGAGTGCTTGGTCCTCTCAGTCAGGATGATATTATGCAACACTCAAGAGGGCGACTGTGACAATGGATACCCCAGACTATCTCGGAGAAGGAACACTGAGCCTCACTTTTATGCTCAAGACAATGAAACAGACAGTCCTAATCAGAACTACACAGGGTTCCTGCCACGAACTCGCCACAAAATTCCAGGAGATTTCAAGGAGAAATTTTAAAAATTCCAGGAGATTTGGTCAAGAAATTCATGTCGAAAGTCTATTTCCGATTGGCCAACACTTGTCCCAAATGAATCGAAGTTTCGATTTTCCGACAAAAACTTTGTTCATGTCCGATCTAGCAAAATTCAAGGAGGTTCCTCAAATTCAGGGAGTTTTCAAGGAGATTTTTCCTAGAAGGCAAATTCAAGGAGTTTTCAAGGACTCCTTTAAAAATTCAAGGAGGCCGCAGGAACCCGACTACAGTCTTTCTTTCATACCAATGCGCCCAGCTCAGATTATCCCCCACATGCTCTTAGACTTAGTTAAATGCAACGGTGACAAGTACATTTGAAGAACTGAACCCTACAAAAATAATCACGTAGAGACAACCAGGCATACACTTTTGTTTCGTAACTTGTTCCTGCATGCACTTGCAACTCTCATGTTTTCAACTATTTGAAACATAAATTTTCGTAACATTCAAGTCCTTTCAGAGAGAATCCATAGCCAAATCAACCACTCACTTTTCCATATATATATATATACATGACATAATGAAACGGTCAAATGGTGACATGTACATTTGAAGAACTGAACCTTAAAAAAACAATCATGTAAAGATAACCAGGCATCCGCTTTTGTTTCATAAAACTTGTTCTTTCATGCACTTGCAACTCTGATGTTTTCAACTATTTGAAACATAAATTTTCGTAACAGTCAAGTCCTTTCACATAGAATCCTTAGCCAAAGTAACCACTCACTTTTCCATATATATATATACATGACATAACAAACAAGACAAACAAATCTTTGACATTTTTATCTATCCACATAAGATATCCGTTTTATTTACAATGAAAGTTCACCCATACAAAAGAAGAAAATCACTTTCATACTTTCCAACCCTGGTGAACGACATCCCTCCCCCCTCCCCACCCCAACCCAGCTGTCATACCGTCAAGCCCATTCAAACATCAAACTGAAATAGTGAGTAGAACCCCCCCCCCCGCCCCCCCAGTCGTGACAGCAGCACCCCCCCCCCCCCCACACACACACACACAGAGCAGCAGACAGACGTCTATGAACTGTCGGTTGAGTTGACTCGGGCCACTTTGGACGAGGATCCTCCTTCGGTGGCGGCCTCCGACAAGTTGGCCTTCTGGCTGTCTCGCTTCTTGCTCGTGTTCTGTCGACACAGGGGAGGCAGGCTTTTTAGTCTTAGTAAGAGCTTTATGGCATTTGCAACACAATAAGGTCATATAAGCGTTGAAGATTAGAGGTGTTACAAGAGAGTAACAAACACAAAAGAGAAGGAGTGGAGATAAAGACGAAAGATATTTGACAGGAAAGAAAGAGCAAACCACACCAGAGCACCCGCCAACCACCCACGGAAGTAGGCTTTACATGGCAAGTTAATTCATACATTCAGTGAAAGTGCATTAGACAATAACTTTATGTCGTAAAAGTGCCAAAGATTTAGAGGTGTTACTAGAGAGTTATATACATACATAGAAAATAAGGGGGGGGGGGGATATGATAAGGGCAGTTGTTGCCACAAAAACATTGTAGGAACGATATGATCTCCTTTTACACATGCCCACTTGTTAAAGTCAAAATTTCCATTCTGAATAGTTAGTGTGGCCTTTGACTTTGAGCGTAAAAAAAAAATGTTCAATTGGAGTGATATTTAATATAAAAAAATGTAGAGTAGACCTAGCATAGCATGAGTGTTTCTTTACACTCTTTGAGCTCACATATAAGTTTTAAAAAAACAACACATTAAAGGTAAATCAAGAACATACAATTCAAATAAAAAATGAACATATTAGTTTAGTAGAGGTTTTACAGCGCTCGCAACTGCATAAGGTCATGTGAGCGCCAGAAGATTAGAGGTGTTACAAGAGAGTAACAAACATAAAAAAGAAGAAGGGGGAGATAAAGACGATAGATGTTTCATAGTTGATAGGAAAGAAGAAGCAAACCACACCAGAGCACCCGCCAACCACCCACAAACTAACATACGAAATGAATAGGGATCTTAAAAAAATACAAAATGTTAGCAACTGCAAGGCGTGGTATCTCTGACAATTTTTCTTTGAATAACTTCTCAACCAGCCAATAAGCAGGACAGAAATCAGGACTCTTTCGTCCTTGATAAACTTTTAAGAACTACACCATTGCTGCCTTCAAACCTCTCAGTTCATCAATACATCCTCTTTTCTCAAGAAAGAATGTAATGTACAAGTGTTATGTATCCACTGACTCACACCCCCCCCCCCCATCCCTCCTAAAATCCTCCCAAAAAAATCATTTCCTCACCTTTTTATCCCACTGTTGGTGAAGATATCGTAACAAGATGCTAGTCTTCTCTGTGGTTATCACTGCAGAAAAACAAAGCAAAAACATCAATAAATAAATATAGTTTTAGTGAGACTACTTTTATGGCACTTGCAACACAATAAGGTCATATAAATGCCGAAGAATAGATTATGTGTTACAAGAGAGTAACAAACACAAAAAAGAAGGAGGGGAGATAAGGACGACAGATGTTTGATAGGAAAGAAGGAGCAAACCACACCAGAGCATCCATCAACCACCCACATCAATAAATAAACAAATACAACGACATTGCAAATCAATATTATTCCTTTTGAGTCAAGTTAAGAGAAGCATATTAACACAATAAGGGTCATATGTGAGGCAGCGTGGTGAAATCAGGCACTCGTCAAAATAATCAAAGTGAAGAAACTGGCATTTTTCCACAGGTTTTGTGAATTCTTATCAGATTTTTGTTTTTTGGCTCAACACCTTTCATGCCTATTAAAAAACGCATTTCTTTGTGGATTTTACGGAAAAACGTCAATTCAAGCTAGGGAAATAACTCATCATTGGCGGCCATTTTCTCAATAATTTTACCTCTAAAACCAGGTGACCCCCATCTCCTTCATTTGCAAATATCTCGACTTCTATTCAAGACAAATGGGTATTTTTTTCATCCAAAGCAAGACAAATGAACAAGCTTCAAGATGATACCAATAACACAACATGCCCAAAAATTGATGAGAGCCTGATTCCAGTGTCGTGACACATATAGATCTAGTGCGCGGAAAAAGCAAGACAGACAGATAGAAACAACACAGGGAAAGAAAAGAAGTAGGTCCTACCAGTGACGCCCCCAAACCATCCGCCCTTAAAAATAATTATTCCTTCTTTTGAATTATAATATTAGTGGAACACAATAAAAACTGAAATCTTTTTTTCTAAGCAAGCACTTCATTTGTCTGCTTTTCTGTGACCAATAATCAACCTCCTTAGTTTTACTTATAAAGGCCAAGAACACAAAATGTTTATAAAGCCCAAGTAGTAAATGTGCATATTTTTGGTGCCATGATAATTGTTAAGTGCATAGAGCATGCTGTATAGCATACGATATGCTCTTTATGAATTTGAAATTATCATTATTATCTTAACCATCATCAAATGGGACACAGATGTAGACTCCATTTCAATTGTCTCTAAGTGGCTGATGAACTTCTACTGATTATCCTTATCAATACGTCATGTTTTACTATTTGTATCCATACTACATGGGAACTCTGTGCCGCCACTTTCCAAAGAGAAAATTTACTCGTTTATCCGATCCGTACGCTTTGCATAGCAGTCTGTCAAAATGATTTTTTGAGAAAAACTGAAAGTTTCAAAGAGATCTTCACACTAGAAGTATTCTAAAATGTGAAGAATACAACCCCGGGGGTACAAAATGACCCCAGGGCATACGGATAGGGTTATACTATATTCTCGTGGTAGTCCAAAGACGGCGGCTTTCGGCACATGAGCTGACATTTTTATCTTCTCCTCTCCAGAAAACAACAAAGTAATTATGTATCTATCCAGGGCATTATTAGTGTCAACAATAATTGGTTGCTTTTCCGGACAAGCGGGCTAACTCAGATTTTGCGGGTTGGGTTTTCCAGAAATCTTGACCTACACCAAAAGTTGGCATTGCCCTACCTATAGGAGAAGTTTGGTTTCATTGGTGAGTATATTTGTTTGGTTATAGAGAAAACTCTCCTTGTATTTTAAAGAAACTTAACAAGGGTCCAAAAACTTTACCTTCAATTTTCTCAAAACAGCATTTTCCGACATAGCCCCCTTGTGCTTAAAAGCGAACAATTGTTCTTTTACATACCATGCCTGTGACTGTGGGTGTGTTTGTGAGTGTAAGTGTAAGCACATCATGTGTGTGTGTGTATATACGTGAATGTGTGGAAGAGAGGATGTGTAAGAGTGTATGTGTGTGTGTATATACGTGAATGTGTGGAAGAGAGGATGTGTAAGAGTGTATGTGTGTGTGTATATACGTGAATGTGTGGAAGAGAGGATGTGTAAGA